TAGTCGGGCCGTCTCCAATCATCATGACGTAGGTCATTTTTTTGTCCACCATCACTTGCTCTTCATAAACTCCTTCCTTCACATAAATCACAAAGGTTGTATTGCTCTTCAATGGTACCTCTTTAAGTGCTTCAGTTATTGTCTTGTACTTTCCACTCCCGTCTTTAGCCACCACCACATTCGCCTTGATGTTAGCTCCAGTGGCCTCGAGTAGCCCTCGTCTGTCGCTCACCCAAGATGGCTCTTCCTTTTCTTCATTGGAATGCTCTGTTCGAAGTTGCCGCCCCGTTTGTGACGGCAGTCCCAACTTCTGCCACAAAGTGCTCACAAGGGATGTAACCTCACCCACCATCACAAGCCCATTGGCGGTCATTTCTTTTGACGTCTTCAACAAATTCTTCATCTTTTCACCGGTATCACCAGGAACATTCTCGAAACCATCCAAACAAGTTTCTTGATATGTCAATGCAGCACTCAACCAAATCCTAAGATTTTCAAGATAATCATTCATTTTGTGAAAACTAAAACTATCGGTGATTTTATTAAAGGAAGTTAAAAGATCATCAATTGCATAATCCATGAGCTCGTCGCAAGCATCAACTGCTTTTTGCGCCATGGGGTCGGTGGCGGCTTGTTTCAAAGTGGGGGAATCTGCAATGACAGCTTTGAGCTGCTCAATAGCAAAATGGAACCCTGCCTTGACCAGCTCACGTGGGTCTTTTGAGTCAACATTGGACTTCACCAGGACTTTTTCGCAAGTTTCTCGGTAAGTAGTGGGCTCACATAGAGTCTTAATGGTAGCAGCATTAGAGGAGCCATGTTCCTCTCCCGCGCCATTTACACCATTAACCAAGGCAACAAAAAACAGAGACAACAACCCAACCAGGGCAGCCTTATTGATCTTGCATCCACCGCTATCATACGCCATGTTTCTTCGCTACAAATCTCAAAGCTGTTTTTTTATTATTATTTTTTTTTGTTTTGTTTTCTTGGGTAATCGAAGATGGGAAGTTGTTGCCTTAATTCCTTTCTGTTCAACAAATGACCTGTTTTTATATGAGAAGAATTTCTAAATTGAAGTAAATATTGTTAGAGTTCGGAGCATTCTGGACCAATCATTTTTACTTTTTTTTTTTTTTTTCTTAAATAAAATTTTAGTATCTGAATTTAGCTGATTTTTGCTAAACTTAGGCTTAATTTAGTTAATTTTTGCTAATTTTGTGTTCAAAATCTTCGTTGATTATGCTAAACATTTAAATTAAGTTTTTTTTATTTTTTTTTATTTTTTTATTATGAGTAATTATTTGTTATTGAGTAGAAGTTCATTAGCTCGGATTAATTTGTGATGCATAAAAAAGACAACTTATTACTAAATAAATCTGAAGGTTTTGAAGTGTATTAACATTTACTTGTTTAGGATTGATAATGGGACCTTTAACTTTTACTTGTGAAATAGAAAACTACTCATTTTTCTTTAATTGTCCCATAAACTACAGAGGCCTAAAAAGTGTTAATAATATAAAACTAAGTTGAGCTTAACCAGTTTAGATATATATAATTTCCATCATGTGGTCAAGAGATTCAAAACCCTACCCCATATGATCGAACTAAAAGAAATTGATGTTTTTACTTCTCAAAAATAAAAGTTAACTTTAATATTTGATATAAGAAAAATAACAATAAGTTTTCGAGTAAGGTTTTGATTGTCGATAAAAATGTTAAGATATCAATTTCTTTAGAAACATTGAGACGTAATCGATTTTATCGGTTCCTAATATTTCATTTCGTTCGAGAGATTTTTCCTTTCAATTTTCAAAGCTTAGCTCTCGGAACGGTTCCTAATATTTCATTTCGTTCGAGAGATTTTTCCTTTCAATTTTCAAAGCTTAGCTCTCGGAAGCTCCAGCTTGGCGATGGTTCCAAAATGAACTTCATCAGGGCCATCTTCTATTCTCAAGCTATTCTTAAGGTCCTTGCAGCAGCCCAGAGATGGGCAAGAACAGTGTCAGAAGATAAGCCACCTGCACCATGAACTTCCATTGCCATGTCCAGAATCTGCAATGCCATATTGGGAGCTGCAACCTGTGCCAAGTTTCATTGCAATCGTCCCATGTGCTTTCTTATTTCCTAGCCGATCTAACTGATCAGCTGCTTCCAAGACTAGCAATCTCGTTCCCTCAAGTTGAGTTATCGAACCACAAGTCTTTTTCGATGAAGTTGGATTCGACCGCCACTGTTAAGAATATGCAATCATGTTAAATTCACTTTGAATTCGTATGAATATGACTATAAATTAGATGGCAACTTACCAAAGGTAGCACTTTTGAATGTGGTTGTCCCATCGACGACATTCTTGCTACCTGTGATCTTGGTCTTAGTCGGGCCGTCTCCAATCACCATGACATAGGTCATTTTTTTGTCCACCATCACTTGCTCTTCATAAACTCCTTCCTTCACATAAATCACAAAGGTTGTATTGCTCTTCAATGGTACCTCTTTAAGGGCTTCAGTTATTGTCTTGTACTTTCCACTCCCGTCTTTAGCCACCACCACATTCGCCTTGATGTTAGCTCCAGTGGCCTCGAGTAGCCCTCGTCTGTCGCTCACCCAAGATGGCTCTTCCTTTTCTTCATTGGAATGCTCTGTTCGAAGTTGCCGCCCCGTTTGTGGCAGTCCTAGCTTCTGTCACAAAGAGCTCACAAGGGATGTAACCTCACCCACCATCACAAGCCCATTGGCGGTCATTTCTTTTGACGTCTTCAACAAATTCTTCATCTTTTNGATATGTCAATGCACCGTTCAACCAAATCTTAAGATTCCCAAGATGATCATTCATTTTGTGTAGACTAAAACTATGAGCTCATCGCAAACCTCAACTTCTTTTTGCACCATGGGGTCGGTGGCAGCTTGTTTGAAAGTGGGGGGATTTGCAATGGACTTCACCGGGGCTTCTTCACAAGTTTGACAGTGGGCTCACAAATTAACCTTAGGATTAATTTAGTTAATTTTTTGCTAATTTTGTGTACCAAATCTTTAAACATTTTAATTAAGTTTTTTTTTCTTATTATGAGTAATTATTTGTTAATTAGTTGAAGATCATTTGCTCATATAAGATTAATATAAAAATTTGTGATGTTTTCTTAATTAAGGTAAAAAATACAACTCATTACTAAATAAATTTTAATAAAGATCCAACAAAAATGAACATTAAATGAACTTTATTATTTTCTATTACAATTGAAAATTATTCTGCTAAGTCTCATCCTACGTCAATGGAAAAGACTTGTAGTTCGATAACTCAACTGGGCTTGAGAAACACCGGGCTGTGGCACTCCGAGTTCAATCTGACATGTCAATCTTCTACAATTGTAGAATGGACGACTATCAAGATACTCTCTACCCCCATGCTCACCGTCAATTCTACCGAGATTGCACAATCTTCGGTACCGTTGATTGATTAACGTTGATTTTTCATCGCTACAATGTTTAGGATTGATAATGGGACCTTTAACTTTTGTCATGATGATCGTTAATGCATAACAATTTAATCGGTATAATAATTTAGTCTCTCCAACAAAATAATTTTATTTAAAAAAATTATTATATATCTTACTAACAAAAAGAGAAAAAATCTTAAAATGAGCTCTTTGTTTTATTCAAAATCTTAAAATGAGCAATAAATTGTCGAGAATTCTAGGAGTTCTATTCCCTTGATTTTAGATCGTTGCCATGCCCGAATAGTAAGGAACTCCAGTGCGCCTAATCCAGGGATTACCACGAATAAACAACCCAGGGGTGAAATCAAGGGCATGCTTTGGTGTGATTTGTTTAATTCCCCTCCACTTAACTCTATTTTGTTTTGCTGCACCAGGTCCTCTGTTATCAAATTCTGTGTAAAACAAAGTCTTGAGAGCAAAATCGCCCTCCCATGGAAGCCACCCTTCAGGTTGGATCAAGTCGTCAATTTGGCATTGCATGATGATGGTTCTTGAATACTGCTTCCATGGGCGGCCAAGGTAGGTCTTGAAGACATGGCGGACAGGGAAGAAGCCGGGGTCAGAAGAGATGGCGCAATTTTGGAGGACGATACCAGTGGGCTCTTTCCTCTCAAGCCGACCTTGAGCAGTGACGATGCATTTTTGATTCTCCATTGGCTTCCTCACAAATATCTTACAATTCTGTAAGATGACAGCAGCATTGCCAAAGATGAAATCAATGGTACCAGTGATGGTGCAATCTCGAAAGAATTGACGATGAGCATGGGTGTAGAGAGTATCTTGATAGCCGTCCATTCTACAATTGTAGAAGATTGACATGTCTGATTGAACTCGGAGTGCCACAGCCTGGTGTTTCTCAGGCCCAGCTGAGTTCTCGAACCACAAGTCTTTTCCAATGAAGTTGGTTCCAACCGCCGCTGTTAAGAATATGAAATGTTAAATTCATTTTTTGAATTTGTATGAACATGATAATAAACTAGATGGTAACTTACCAAAGGTAGCAGTTTTGAATGTGGATGTTCCATCCTTGAAGTTCTTGCCGGCCGTGATCTTGGTCTTGGTAGGACCATCTCCAATCATCATGACCCAGGTCATTGTTTTGTCCACCATTACTTGCTCTTGGTAAACTCCTTCCTTGACATAAATCACAAAGGTTTTATTGCTCTTCCTTGGGACATCTTGAAGGGCTTGAGTTATTGTCTTGTACTTTCCACTTCCGTCCTTAGCCACCACCACATTCGCCCTAATCTTGGCACCAGTGGCTTGGAGTAGCCCTCGCCTGTCATTGACCCAAGATGGCTCTTCCTCTTCATCTTCTTCATCGAGCTCTTTTGCTCGGAGTTGTCGCCCTGTTTCTGGCAGCCCGAGCGCCTTCCACAAAGAGGTCACAAGGGATGTAACCTCACCCACCATCACAAGTCCATTAGCGGTCATTTCTTTTGACGTCTTCAACAAATTCGTCATCTTTTCACCAGTATCGCCAGTAACATTCTCGAAAGCATCCAAACAAGTTTCTTGAT